CCATTTTTCTCTGCTAGCAGCCACAGCACCAGGAATTCCCTACATATAATGTTTGGTGTCATTGTGAAGTTGAAGCATTTCCCTTTTTAAATATTGGGCTGGAAATCTCAGCGACGTCATTCCAGACTAATGAAAATCCAACATTTATACTTTCAACACACGATGCATCATCTAGACAGAAGCTTTTGAGATGGAGAATTTGAAAACAACTCAAAGAACTCCTCATTTTGCCAGCACGGGTCCCACATGTTATTTCACAGCGTAATAAAAAGTAAAACTACTTTTAGTACTTTCTGAATGTTGATTTTCAGCTTAGAGCAAAAACAATCTGCAAAAGTTATTTTTTCTCCCCCACTAACTTGAACAAACAGATAATTATGGTAAGTAAAAACCACACAACAACGGAGGTTAATGAATAGCTGGGAAGGAGCACAGTTTAATACAGAGAGCTTGCATTCTTCTGAAATTACCCCTCGACCCTGCAGCGTTGGATCATCAGGTCAAGGACAGTTTAAAGAACAGAAACAGACAGGAAGAAGTAAAGAGCATCACTCACAGTTTTCTTCATTTTCTCGACGAAACTCGTCTCTCGTGTGGTGGGAGCTCTGAAAAATAAAAACTTGTTTTTAGTCAGGATATTAACATTACTGGATAATTTCTTCTACTTTTTATCCTGATACTATGAACACAAACATTTTTGTGGCATCTATACAAACAGCAAAACCACCGATGCTATAAAAGATTTAAAATGGCATGTTGCTGATTTATTTAGTGACCAATTAGAGAGACAGCAAACAAAGTCTGAAATGTTCTTCAAGTGCAAGAGTTCAACCTCTTTGTTGGTTTTAGATCAAACAGGCTAACAGGTTTGACTTTTACCAGCTAACCCTGCCTCAGGGGGGGAACAATGGGCCACTAAGTTCAACCTGAAGCCATAAAAAACAGGTGTGAAGGAGAAAAAATTACTTTAGGGAGTGCAGGTGGGAGAAGGATCCTCGTGAGACAGAAACATGTACGGTCGTATTTTAACGGTCAACTACACATCTTTGTTCGTGAGGTGGAAGTGATTACAGTAGTCCCTCGCTACTTTGCAGTTTTTCAACATAAGATTGAACACAACACATGATTGTCAACTTTAATATTACTCACATGAATGGGACGGTACGAGATAAAAAATTAACCAAAAGAAGCTTTGGACAGGCGTCGTCATTTTGTAGTTTTCTTTCAATAAGACTAAACTGTAACGCTAGTCAAAAGAACTACACAACCCAGAAGCCAACAGTGCTTCTGCCCCGCTGCTTTCTGATCAAATGGAGAGAAAGATTTGCAACACAAAGCCAGAAGTAACAATCTCTCTATGAAGTTCACAGAACTGGCAGGAAAGTCACAAATAATCCTGAAGCTCAATTATCCACGTGCACATCAACCAGGATGGGGCGGTGGGCTTCATGCTGCAGGGTAGGTCTGCAGAACCAGAACAGAGCCTGACCAGAACTGAACTGCTGGTCTGCAGAGCTGGTGAGTAACCATATAAAATTTTGCAGTACTGTACAGTACATATACTGTATGTATGTTGTTAAAATTATGTAGGTTTAAGAGTTTAGAACATTTCAAGAGCGTGGGAAAGATTTATAAAGCCTTAATATATATATATAAATACTAACATATTGTTAGGGTTACCTTACTTTATCATGTTGAGACCCCCAGTCTTGATTGCGCAGAGACGGACCAGTTATGGCCCGGTTCTGTACTGAGGAGACGGGCCCAGCTGCTCTGAGTGAGCTTCCCAGGGTCAACACCCAATAAGCTGGTGAAGATTCTCAGTACCCCACACCCAACACCCAACAAGGAGTATTTTTTTATTTTGCTGGCTTCCATCGCGCAGACAGATTGGCACTTTCACCCATTTTTCACCATCAGAAGCAGATAAGACCAATGACGTCTCACAGTCACAGCACTGATATCTGATAGGCTGTGCTCCCGGGCGTGAAGGCGGAGCCAAGGGCCAATATAAGCTGGGGCGTTCTGTGACACGGGGCTCCACTTCCAGGTTAAGACGAGTGGACGGACGCCTCAGCGCTGCGCTTGTAACTTTTCCTGCCTTGTTGACATTAAATGGTAAATATAATTTACCTAACCTGATTTTAATGAGTTCTTGTGCGTTTCCTCTCCACCTGGGAATAAAAGAACCAGACGCCGGTGGTGGGGAGTCGGACCGGTTTCAAGGACGGGCCCGATCTGGATTCTCACAATAAATAGTGTTCCTATGCGTTTTTTCACCTATAGCTGTGGTGTGTGGAACGCAACCCCCGCGATAATCGAGGGACTACTGAATACTTTTGTGGGTTTTAGCTTTGTTATAAGGAAAAAACCTGATTCAGGTAAATGTCTTGAAAATAAAACGACTAAAGAGAAGAAAATCCTCAACTGTGAGCCGTCACTAAAGCTCTGTAATAAACACAATAAAACGTTAGACCTGACAAGAAGTACAAGCAGATGAAATAAAGCAAAATAACAAAATACTGCTAGTTTCAAGAGAACAGCAGGATATTCCACTCCTGACAGCGTCAGCTGGGTCTGACTGGGCTCTTATCTGCCCCACCATTACACAACAGGAAGGGTTTTCCTGGTAACTCTGGTGACCTGCAGTGGTCAGGCTATCAGAGTTCAAAATAAAGTTCACACAGCAACACAAAAAATAAATACATTCATCTGAAGATGTTTAGATTTAACTCCTTGTGACTGTATTTTAATAGAAACAATTGGCATCTGACTGAAAGATGTGCTGAAACATTTTGTGGGTTTCTCTTTAAAAAAAAAAAAAAAAAAAAAGTGTTGCATCGAAATTCCTTCATTGATTTCTCCACATTGAGTGAAAACAATCGGTCAGTAAAAATACACCGATGTTGTAGGACTAAATGTTAAACCCTTAATCAGCAAAAAATTTATTAAAAAATCTTAAGTTATTAATTCTTGAGTTAATAAAGGCTGCAAAAAAAATAAACTTTGCATGAGGCTTCAGATCAGAAAGTGTAGTATTTTAAAATCAAAATGATGCTTTGGATTAAAGTTTAACTTAAAAGTGTGTGCACCTTGAGCGGTGTTCCTAAAAATAACTAAATTAAAGACATTTAGTGTTTGGCAACTACTTTTTCTCTAAATGTGAGTGAGAGAGTGAATGGTTGTTCATCTCTATGTGTCCCTGTGATGGACTGGAGACCTGTCCAGGGTGTCCCCCGTCTCTCGCACAGTGATGGACGGATATGGGCACCAGTGACCTTCGTGGCCCAAAAAGGAAGAAGCGGGTAAAGATAATGGATGGATGAATTTAAAATGCATCTTATTTAAGTTTACCAAAGGCTGAAGTTTACTTTAAACCAGATTTTGTGAATTCATAGGTGGTGTTTAGTTGCCGTTTGTAGATTAAAACAAATCAAATATTGTCGCTCGTGTTTACCTTTTTAACCCGTGCCTGTACATCAGAAAGTAATTTGTGAATGTACAATGGATTCACTTTTGAAACTAATCCAATTCAAGATGGCCACAGCAGCCAACTGACCTTAGAAAACACAAACATCTTTAATTCAGCCTGACAGCTACAACCGTATCAAATGTTAGCTCAGACTCTGTGAGTCATTAAAACACATTTGCTGAGTGTAACATCACTCAGTACCACATAAAAACACCTGCAGCCCTGATATTTCTTTAATTATTATCCAGAGAGGTCATAAGAAATGTAATGCTAACAGACAAAATAGTTTATCTATTTAACCACACGTTGATGCAAATAATTATTTTCTGAATTCAAAGAGAGCGAGATGAAACGGGTTATAAAAGATACGAGCTTTTCTTCCCTGTGAAAATATTTTTACACCTTTGATGGCATTCAAGATCGGGCTGAGCAAAGTATCAAAAATCTATCAAGACTGCAGTATCAGAGTCACAAAGGACAGTTTGAACTGCAATAAATCAGAGGTCTCAACATTTAAAGCCTTGACACCCACACCTGGTCTACTTCCTCAGGCGGCTGAGACGAGCTGGTCTGAGAAGCTCAGTCCTCACCTCCTTCTACAGGTGTGCAGTGGAGAGCATCCTGTGCTCCAGCATCAACGTGTGGCATGGAGGCTGCACAGCTGCAGAAAGAAACGCTTTGCAGAGAGTGGTGAAGGCTGCACAGAAGATGTTGGAATCAGTCTCTCCACCATCACAGACATCTACACCTCCAGATGCAGGAAGAGGGCCACCTGCATCATGAAGGACCCCACTCACCCAGCACACACACTTTTTGCCCCGCTCCCATCAGGAAGGAGGTTAAGGAGCATTAAGTGTAGAACCACTAGACTGAGGAACAGCTTCTACCCTGAGGCTGTTAGACTCATGAATCTCTAACCAGTAAAAAAAAAAATCACAGTAATGCCACTTTAACTGGTGATGTCACTTTATCTGTGCTGCTGATTATCCATGCTGCTGATTTCTTGCCTTTAAACTGATGTATTCATACCCATCTGCTCACAACAGACTCATGTTCAGGCTGCTGTTTAACATAATGCATTATTTTACATTGTTAGTGTTTAGCATATATCTCTGCAAACAAATCCTGAATCACCTCCTGTCCCCTCAGAGTTGTATGTAACGTTGAGAATCTCCATCTGCCTACTTTAGGTGTGAACCAGGAAACTTTGACAAAGAACAGACTCTACATAAACTTTCTGGAGCATTTACATGTGAAAACTATTTCAGTTTTATTGACCTCCCTTCCATCGTGCAGGAGATGTTACTCTGAAATGACAAAACAAACTTTACGCCAAGATAGCCTAATGATGAAGATTAAATTATACTGGAAGTGTACACATTGTCAGAGTGGTAAATAATTAGGCTTGGAAAAAGGAGAGAGGAAAACAGAAGACTTGATCACAACAAAATTAGATTTTATCAGAGGACAAACAGATTTTATCTTTACCTGTTGTGTAACTTCTTGCAAACATTTCATTGTTACACCATGATACTGTAAATCTAAATAAAACATGCGTTTGTGCAGCACTTTTGTTGGAATCAATTAACTACTTTAACATCAACAAGTTACTGAGCTGGAGGAGTGGTGCGAGCCGTACTGTACAACTACCCTGCAGAGTTAAAACGATAAAACTTTGGGACCATTTTACACAAACCATTTGCTTCGTAGCCATAAATCAAACGCTGTACTGACCTCTCAGCAGCATCTCTCCTGTCTTCTGGCAGCGAGAAGACGCAGCCCATGTCATGCAGCCTTTTAGCACAACACTTCAACTAGCACAGCTGTCAAGGCCGAGCTGGGAGCCGCCACGCTCAAAATCCAAATAAGTCCTCCAAAACCAGGAGATGGAAAAGTAGAACCATTCCAGACTGGGCAGAGGGATACTTAAAGCACAGCTGGCCTTCACCTCCACCTCCGACACGACGTGAACTCTGCCTCTTCCTGCTCTCAAACCAGCAGCGTCTGATCTCTGCGCGCATGCACACGGAGCGCAGCACAGCCTGCGAGCTCCGTCAGGGTCTGGCAATGGCGAGGAGCACAATGGTGGGAAACAGACTTTCCCAGAAAATGTAGCCAAGCTGCAGACTCACG